TAAATGTGTTACGGGTTGGAATAAATATGTGCGCAGCGCTCACGAGAAGGCGCGACTTTGTTACCAGGTGTGGTTATCGAATAATAAACCAAACTGCGGTACTATCTATAATGACATGTGTGTTTCGAGACGTTATTTTAAGTCAAAATTAAAATGGTGTCAAAACAATCAGCAACAAATTAGAATGGACATTGTCGCTGAACACCATAAAAATAAGAAATTCAATAAGTTTTGGAAATTGAGTAACCAATCAAATCCTAGACCTAGCCTTCCCGTGAGCGTAGCTGGTACCCATGACCCAAGTGATATTGCAAATGTTTTTCGGCATCATTTTAAAGTACAATCGCCTCTAGGGCCAGCCTCGTCAACGTTGCTCGATGCTGGGGGTCTTGCATCGGAGCTGAGTGTTAGATTTGCCGCAAGTGAAGTGGCTTTGGTAATAAAGAAAATGGTGAGCGGAAAGTCTCCGGGGCATGACAGCCTCAGCATCGAGCATCTGAGGTATGCTGGAGTTCACCTTCCGAGAGTACTGTCGTTATTTTTCAATATATGCTTGTCTCATTCCTATTTGCCTGAGAAAATGATGCATACCATCGTAGTCCCTGTTATTAAAAATAAAACAGGGGACTCTTCAGATGTCACAAATTATAGGCCGATCTCTCTGGCTACCACTATAGCTAAGGTACTGGACGGTCTGATTGAGCGACACTTGGAGTCACACCTGAACTTGGATGATGCACAGTTTGGATTTAGGTCTGGACTCTCAACCGAGAGTGCTATTCTGTCGCTCAAGCAGACGGTCCACTATTACACAGCTAGAAAAACTCCTGTCTATGCCTGCTTTTTAGACTTGTCAAAAGCTTTTGACCTTGTATCTTATGACAAACTATGGAATAAACTACAGGATACTAGTGTACCCGGGGAGATCGTTGCTATGCTAAGGCATTGGTACAGTGCACAGAAAAATCAGGTAAGATGGGCTGGTACTCTCTCGGAAGAGTACAAACTGGAGTGCGGAGTGAGACAAGGGGGACTCTCCTCCCCTCTTCTTTTTAACTTTTACATGAACGAGCTGATTGGGGGGCTCAGAAGCGCCAGAATCGGCTGTCATATAGATAGTGTATGTATCAACAATATAAGCTATGCTGACGATATGGTGCTCCTGAGCCCCTCCATCTGTGCGTTGAGGGAGCTCATAAAGATTTGTGAGACTTACGCAAACACCCATGGCCTTAAGTACAACTCAACTAAATCTGAGCTCATGGTATTTAAATCGGGTACTAAACACTATGATAATGTACCTAATATAGTCCTGAACGGTACCCCGTTAAAAAGAGTTTCTAAATTCAAGTATTTAGGCCATTGGGTTACTGATGATCAAAAAGACAATACTGACATTGAGAGAGAGCGCAGGTCCTTGTCTGTCCGGTGTAACATGTTGATTCGCAGGTTTGCACGCTGTAGCACACAAGTAAAGAAAACACTGTTTAAGGCTTACTGTCAATCCTTTTACACCTGCAGCCTGTGGGTTGGCTACTTGCAGGGGGCATACAGGGGCCTGCGGGTGCAGTACAACAATGCTTTCAGGATGCTGATGGGGCTACAGCGGTATTGTAGTGCCTCGGGTATGTTTGCCGAGGCCAACGTTGACAGTTTTGCGACAGTGATGCGTAAACGTTGCACGTCGACCCTAACTCGCATGCGAGCTAGTTCCAACAGCATCTTGAGCGTATTGACGGACCGATGGGATTCCCCGATGCTTGAGCGTTGGATACGACTGCACGCAGTCAAATAAAATACAGTGATGCGTTCTGGCGTGGGATTGGTCCTACAATCTATGTATTTTTAATTGTATTTTTATTTTTTGGGTGTAATTTGTTTACTAACAATAGTTTTTAAGTATTTTCATGTTACTAACAATTTATGGAGAAATCTGAAATAAATTCATATTATTATTATTATTATTTTCGGAAAGTAAACTTTCTTCTTAGCTATAAAGCTAGTTTCATCCATATTTACGGGCCGAAACCAAGTAAATACAGGGTGTGGTGAGTAGTCTTATGTGTTTGTGGGTGTAGTCTGGTGGTTGATCTCATTGTCTTCTATTTGCATGAACTTTCTGACGATTCTACAGGTATTTAGGATTGCAGCTTTTTGGAGAGTTATGTATAATGTTTCTTTTAAATCTAACAATTTGAGACTATGGAGAAGATGGTTTGGTATTACACCTGTGGTGGACAGAACTATAGGAACCACATAAACTTTATTTTGCTTCCATATTCTAGCCACTTCATCTTTGAGTTCTGCATATTTCGTAATTTTTTCGGTAATTGTTTTTTGTATGTTGTGGGTATTTGGCACAGCGATGTCTATTAAGTAGGTGATATTATTTACTTTGTCCTGTAATGTTATGTCCGGTCTATTATAATGAATTGTCCTGTCGGTGAGTATGGCGCGATCGTAGTAAAGCTTATGTGTGGTGTTTTCTAGAACAGTTTCTGGCGTGTATTTGTAATATGGTGTGTTTGTGTTTTGTATGAGTGAGTATTTGAGTGCAAGTTTTTGATGGATGACGTTTACTATCTGGTTGTGTCTGTGGGTGTAATCGGTTTGTGTGAGTGTTGTGCAGGCTCCTGTTATATGTTGTATGGTTTCAGGTTGTATGTGACATTTGCGACATTTATCATCGGTTACTGTAGGGTCTTTAATAATATATTTTCTATATTAATAATTTGATCCTGAATAGCGATAATGAATCCTTCAGTTTCTGGAAATAAGTTCCCTATTTTCAGCCACTTATTTGATGCTATTGTGTTTACGTGGGCTTGTTCTAAGTCATGTGGATGTCGGCCATGGAGGACCTTTCTTTTCCAGTTTTCTAGCTTTTCTTTTTGTGGGTCAGTTTCATTAGAGTTTTCTACATCTATTGGTTCATTTAGGTTTAGTGGCGTATAATTGATGTCGTTTGAGACTATGGCTTTATGAATGTCGCTTGTTTGAGATTTCGAGTGGAAGAGTGATTTTAGTTTACAGATTTGTTTTTGGCAGAGATGAGGGATGTCTATGAGGCCTCTTCCCCCATTTTGTCTTTTAATGGTGAGCCTTTCTATTGCTGATTTAGGGTGTAAATTATTGTGTTTAGTGAGTGTAGTGCGTGTTGTGCGTTCTAGTTGTTCTGTGTCTGTTTTAGTCCATTTTATTACACCGAATGAGTAGGTTAGTATAGGAACAGCGAAAGTGTTGATAGCTTTAATAAGATGTTTGCCAGATAATTGTGTTTTACAGACAGCGTTTAATCTTCTTTTGTATTCAGTGGTGAGTGAATTTTTTATTTTTACATGATCTAATCCTTTTAGCTGTGTGTAGCCTAAATACTTGTATAAATCGGTTTGTTCCATTGCAGTTATAATATCTTTGTCATTTACTACATAGTTGCCAGGTTGTATTTTGCCTCTTACAATGTGTAGGGTCTTGCATTTATCTAAACCAAATTGCATATTGATATCGTTACTAAAAGTTGCTGTAATGTCTACTAATGTTTTCATATCTTTATCGGATTTAGCATAAAGTTTAATATCGTCCATATAAACAAGATGTGAAATAACTGTTTCATCAGAACTATGTTTGAGGCAATACCCAGCATGGCAACGCTGCAGCAAATGGGAAAGGGGGTTCAAGGCTAGACTAGGTTTATTATTATTATTATTGTTATTATTATTAATGACGTACCTAGGCTACTAATGACACCTAGGTAATATATTTGCATAGTGTATGGCACAGGTAATTTAATAATATAATTAGCTCTATTTATCAAAATGAAAGTCGTTAATCCATTGATAAGACTGCCAAGTCTGGTGTTGGATTTAATTATTGAATCGAGAAAATTATCTTTAAATAATTCGATTTTTTTTAAGTCTCGGTACAGACGCGCTCGTTGTTCGGTTTTATGTTTAGGAAAAGTGGACTCCAAGCAATTCATTCCTCAAATTCTTAATCCCCAATAGGCCCCAAAAGTAACGCACTTGTAACGCCTCTGATGTCCATGGACGACGCAGATTGCTTGTCGTTAAGTGATCCGCCAGCTCGTTTATTCATACTATTCATACCGTAACCAAAATGAATCAGCCAGATCGAAAACGTAACGTTTATCCATCTCTTATGTAGGTAATTTTAGGCACAATTTATCTGCAGTTTAATAATTATTCTCGAATTACATATTACTTTGGATTATTTCAAACGTTATTAATGCCTTCGAGTTTCGTTGAGGATTATAGTTAAGCTGTTATATTTGATGTTTAATCATTGTGTTTTGAGTTTATTCGGTGTAGTTGTGAATTATAGTAAGCTGTAGTGCGTGTGATTAGTTATGGTATGAGATCGATCTGGGGATTTTATTGTTAGACTGCAGTGCCAATAATGAGGTTTATTATCTGGTACTTAAGACTTTTAGCTATTTGTATGCTTTGGTTTGGTTCTTAGTCATTAAAAACTGTATGTTACTTCTTGAAAAGCTTAATTATTTAGTAGCTTTGTTTCTCACTTGTTCTCCACAGCAAGTTATTATACTTTGATAGTATGCATTGTCAACGTCGGTTAATTTAAAAGAAAGTTTTCAATAGTGTTTTTTTAATAATATAATTTTAAAAATATAGGCACAACAGCAATAAAATAACATGATTCAAGAAGTTTAACTTAATATTGTAGAATATGAGTATAATAAGTACAAAACATAATTATATCGACCCTATAGGTCAATCGATGAAGGTTTTCGTTGTTCACTCACCAGAGAGCGCTAGTAAGACGTTCTAGTGAGACGTTCCTATTGGTCCTTGCAGCTTAGCTGTCAAGAACTGACCAATGAACGTTATCAAATAAATATTCTATTGGACGATAGGCGTTAAGGTGTAGTAGCGCCTCTAGCGAAGCAAAAACCAACTTCGAATGGCTCAAAGCCTATTAATACATCTTCCACAGTTTTAAAAACTTCTTTATCTTACGTTTTATTTCAATTGTTCTGTCTGTTGCTTTTCTCTGTCTTCTTTTAGGGCTTCATTTCTCAATTTATCCTTTTTGTGTTCAAAATACAACCACCTGTGGGCAAAAATATGGTGTAAATAATTATTTTTTGGTCCGTACACAAACATGTACTTCTATTATAATTGTATACACACATCAAGTCCTGCATTTATGAATACACAAAATGATGTGCCGATCGAAAATTGAAGCCGAGAAACGTTGAGTAGCAGTAGATCGACCAGCCACGGTGTCAACAGGACTTTTTTTTAAAATTACACACATAACATCAAGCCTTTTATCCCCGAAGGGGTAGGCAGAGGTGCACATTATGCCACTGTACAATGTAATACCCACTTTTCACAATTCATGATATGAGTCCCATGTAATAGGGGGTGAGCCTATTACCATATACTGGGCTCAGTTCCAGACTCCGTGCTACTACTGAGAATTTTTTTTAAACCCAGTAATACTTTGCCCGACCCGGGAATCGAACCCGAGACCACTTGCCCGGCAGACGCACTTGTGACCCCTCAGCCAACGAGGCAGTATTTTTAATTACATTTCTACTTTATCCTAATTAAACCATTTACGATATCGCATAAGTATTAGAATAGTTCAATTACAAGCTTCTTACCCAAATATTGCAATGGCAGGTAACGTCATAGCAGCGCCTAATAAAAATACAGCTCCGGGCAGAATGTCAAGAGTAGCCATGTATACCCTAGAGTACAGAGGCCCATATAACAGGGGCATCGTAGCTTCTGCCAAACCAAACAGGGAATTCACTTTACCTGGAAATTAAACAGATGTATGTTGAGTAAATAATTTTACGAAAATATGTAAAAAAATACAACAATTTTAATTTAAATCTTAGCAACACAAAAAATAATCGATGAATTTTCGAATATGAACTAAAACTTCGAATAGTTGTTAAGTAAGGGTTTCCTATTATCCTTTTTATGTGACAGAAAATGCCTATATTTATATAGAATTACGTACCAAATTCTTCGCCATCCACCAGCTTTGTAGCAATAGACCGCATCGCAATGAACGAAGTACCATTCAATATTTCCAGTAGAGGTGCTGTGGAGAAAGAAATAAAAAATTATATACACACACACACACGATACATACCCATGTCCATAGGAAAGTAGCCAAAGGTGTACCTACATAGGAACATAGACAATGCAACAGACTTTTCCACAGACAATGCAACACAACCCCTAGCAGATATATTTCGAAATTTAAAAATGTGTTCTTTTATTTATATATATTTAAATAAAGAACTACATTGAAAAAAATGACTAATTTCAAGAATGCCTTCCTAGTTGATTGTATCTATTTATGTATTAGTTTAAATCTAGTTGTACAAATTACTTTTAATTTGTGTTCGTTTGTAAGTAACTACATACATAGGCAATTTCCACCGTATTTACTTCGAAGAAAATAAAATAACACTTCTAAAACTCGTTCCTACTCTATTCTAGTTAACTATGTACTTATATGCACGCTATACATATATTATAGTTAGACTGAATAACTATCGAACCGAGCTGCTTTCATTCTCTGGGCGGATACATAGTTTTTATTTTATTATTTCATCTGTACCTTATAAACAAACATATTTTACCTACTAATGTAGCAAAGACAATGACGTTTCGATAATTTAGATATCATTACACAAATATTGGATCCAGGACATTAAATTCATTATTTCAGTTTTCTCTAACTTAGATTTTTTGTTTTATATTAAATTTTATCAATCAATAAGTGTGCTTATTGAAATTCTATTGAACAATTGACTTTCAGAATATTAGGGTTATTATAGGATTAGGGTTACAAGCTCAAATAAAATAATATATATTGAGCTATAATTTGAACATTTTTACAAATACGAAGTAAATAAATAATAACATTAAACCTCAGAAAGGGTAAGGAGTACTTTTAACGGTCGTAGATGTGAAACATGTACAATTTATAAATCCAAATGATGCCTAAGAATCGCAGTAAACGGTTCTCTGTGGTATTTTCTAGTCTGATGGGCAACGGCATGAGTTTGTGTGTGTGAGTTGTTATAATTTTTTTTGCAGTATGTACTTTAAATTTTTTTAATTTGTATTTTCTAATCTAGTCTCCGGCAAAAATAATTTAAACTGAACTTGCGTAAAACTTCTTGCGTATTAGAGTAATAAGTTCGGTAAAAAAGGTAGTCTACCTACTCAATATCATGGCCATTACATTTCAAAGGAACAAACAAATACTTAAGAAATCAGTTACTTCATCATATAAATTGTCATTAATTTATCGTTTTCACAAATTGCACAATATTTAATCTATGTATCAATGAAGGGACACATTACACAGTGTCTATTGTTAATTGCTGCAAGAGATAAACAGTTGATGATAACCTTAGGATCTTATCAGGCAAATAATGGATGCAAATACTTCGAGATATTTTATTGTATCACACGTAACAATGGCTTCTCTTTGTTTAATACAACACGCTTAAAAGTTTTCTTAAACATTGCATTATTATTATGTAGGTAAGCAGATATTTTTATTTAACAAATGTCCTTTATTGCTTATCGGTTAAGTGACTTTTTATATATTATACACTAGCGACCCACCCCGGCTTCCCACGAGTGCAATTCTTGTATAAACCTACCTTAACAATACTCTATCTATTAAAAAGCCTCATCAAAATCCGTTGTGTAGTTTTAAAGATCTAAGCATACATAGGGACAAAATGCGACTTTGTTTTATACTATGTAGTGATTTACACTATTATTCGACTCGTATGTTTATGAGTATTTCATGATATTCATAATAAAAAAAAACATCTTAAATCTTCGAAACTAGTAGAGCTTTTCTCAATATATTCACGTGAGTAAACGGCGGTTTTTAGTTAATTTAGTATGTCTCACAATTGTTATTATAAAAACATAAAGAAAACTATTTCTAGACAAAACAAAACCGCGTCAAATTTAATGAATGCTAATATTAAAAAAACTATTTTTAAATAATATTTTACGAACCATTTTAGATTATTATTCAGACTATATACATACATATATATATAAACGTCGGATAAACAAGAACGGCGCCTATCAGCTGGGATACTAAAATAAATATAGACGTGTACTGTTCTAACTGCGCAAATGTATTGACAGTAGTACCTATTATTATCTATCTTAGAAAATATCAAATGAATTAATCTCTGTACATAAACTAATAGGGTAGGTGACTAATTTTTATTTTAATGACGGTTTGGTAAATTATTTTAAAACAATACACACGTATTTTTATTTTTTTACAGACACGAATACTTTCGACGATATATTGATTTGAAATGTCGCGTGACGTCACTTCTATGTACATTTTATCCATAGAATGAAATGTATTGTTTTCTTATACGACAAAATAAAAAAATACGTGTCTAATATTTTTTAATTATCTAACTTACGGACTAATTATATTTTTAATTTTCATACCCTGTCATCATCCCAATTGTTGGAATCTATTTTACTTACCTAAATAAATCTCCAAGTCATTCCTCGCAAATGCGTATGCGAAGGCTGCGACAATCTTACTGGTGTTGGAGATGATACCAAGCAGCGTGTCGTCCAACTTCATGTAGTTACTGAATAAAGTTATGGAGAAGAATGTACCTGCAATGGATAACCTTATTTAAAACGGTTATGACAGCTGGTAGATATTTTTCCTGAATATAATGTAGTATACTGATTCTTTTAAATATACGTTATGATGATCATGATCAATTTACTAATTTCAATTGTATCATTATTAAAGAGCAAAAAGGTTTATATTCCATATGTCGTGTAGACTAAATGCAATAGAATGTGTCAATCAAAAACAAACCCTATGGAAAGTCCGATATTAGCTAAATTCCGTTCAATTTTCCTACATTTCAATGATTTATAACTAATACACATATTGTGTGTCATCACTAGAACACCATTGATAATTCAAAACGACGATAGGATGAAACAGCCGGAACCAGACGATTACCTTCTTGCATTAATAAGGAAGTATTTACGCAGTTATTCGCAAAAATGATACAAGTTGTGGGTTGACAATGTTCTTGCGTCTTAGAAACAAATCATTGCATATTTGTGTATATCATTTACTAAAAGGAGGAAATCTTCATGGACCTCCCTCACCTCGGGACGCTTACTGACTAGAAAGTAAAAACCATCCGGTGTCTCTCACGTGTGGGTGCAAGTTTGTGGTATTTGCTAAGTACGCCTATTCCTACTACGTTACACGGAACACTATAGATTTGGACCATCAATAAAAACCCTTTCATCTAGATTCAAATTCACGAAAACTGTATCCAACAAGAAAAATCTGCTATCACATGCAAAAATTAGCAATAACAAGCTGATACCTATTCCTAGGACTAATCTATTTTTATATTAAAGTTCACTTAAATCAGTTCAGTAATAATAACAAAAAATAATACTATCTTAGTTACGATTAGCTAAAGAGTATTTATTTAATCCCTCTGCTGAAACACAAAATGCTATTTGATGATAACCCAACTATATTAATTAGATCATCAATCGAACGTCGTAATTAAAACTAAATAATATAATTATAATAATTAACTCGTCGAGTACCGGTTTTATAGACACAATTAAAGAACAATAGGTCGCGGTCACCGGTGACCGCTTGGTGTTTGACAGTTTAATATCGTCGTGACCCGAAGGTTTAAAACGCTTGCTTCTCATGCACGAGGCAAGGCAAAGGCAAGTACAAATGTGACTTATTCCGAGTTCTATGTACTTTCTAAGTTTAGACACCACTGACAAACGGTAGAGGTATGTAAGAATCACAGCAATTGGCGTTCCATAGTATCTATCAACCTCCATGGGAGACAGGCCTAAAGTTATGTATGTATGAGGAAAGGTGAAGGAAAATATCATGAGGAAACCTAGACTTATAATTTCTAATTGTAAGTTTTAAATCGCTAAGCCGCTTTGAGCAAGCTTGGTGATTAATGCGCAAACCTTCATGCGAGAAGAGGCCTTTGGTCAGCAGTGGCTATTTAGTTGTAGGCTGTTGATGAGTATTAATACCTCTATAATAAATAAATATAATACATGTATTATTGAGTCTCGTCTTTGAAAATACGTATGAACAATTTCTGTTTTAGTTATAGTTCATAGGGCCATCCTATGAGACCACCACCTCGCCTAGTGGCAAGCGGTGATGTAAATCAAATATTTTTTTCATTATTTCTAATAGTTAGGTGGTGAGGAAATTAGATACTAAGATATGCTAACGGCCAGTCTCAATAACTCCTCCAAATGTAGTTCTCGTTACCAGAGGTCCAATATACAATTACTTATACCCCATACAAAATGTGTAAGCCTAGTCATTGTCAAATATTTAATTAACTTCAGAAACCAGCATATTACTTACCCATCAAATTGGTGACGATAGAGTAAGTAGACCACATACTGTACTGGACTTCATCCCAGTTAAACCTGTATCTTGTAAACAGATACATCACGGTGAATTCACCTGAAATAATAAAATAAACACACGTATGACGTAAAATACATAATGATTATTGAAAAATAAACTAATTTACTTTAGTTTGTTACAATGTGTTTGTCACGCAATGTGGCGTTTTATTCTTCAAATAAATTTAACAATTCATAACGTCATTTACATCAAGATAAAGTTGACAATTCTGCTGATCGAAATTCAAAATGTTATTTTGAAAAGTTAAATTATGTCCTTGCTCTCAAACAAAGCAATAAAAATATTGATGATATTAAGTTACTAAGTAACTAAACAACACGTGAAATTAATGGTATTTTAAATAAATGTTGGTTAGAAAATTATCCGGCGGCTGTAATAAACTTTACCTAAAATCAACAAACATCCAAAAATGCAAAAAAAATCTTTTCATGCGACCTTTGACCTTGAATACCTTAAGACAAAGAGACGAGATTTTACGAGACCTTTAAGACACCATATAAAAAGGTAAAATAAAGGTTTATACGACTTTTCAGCTCATTCTGAGGTTGACCATTTTTTCGGCTACCTTTACGATACTCACGTACATTGCAGAGACAGACGTAAAAAAATATAACTAAAAATGAGTAAATAATATGAGCATAGAAAAATCTAGTTAGAAACAGTTACTTTCAAGTTTTGAATGACTAGACTAGACTAGACGGGTCTATAAGACACAATAGAAAATACATTCTGTCTCGCGTAGATCCATGTTTAGACACACGACGGGTTAAAGAAACAATATAATCGAAATCACTTAACATAAATAACAGAAACAGCAACGCAAATTCATTAATTTAAAATACAACTATAGTTGCACTTGTCAATAACATTAAAGTTAAGTTATTTTAATTATTATTTTCACTCACCATGCATCGGTCCGAATACAACGCATACTACAATGAGAAGTAAGCACACTCGTAGCCTCCTGTTTCCAGGACCTTGTTTAAAAGCTACCCTGAAGGTTTCCATCACCAGACCAACATCGAAGAATTCTCGAAGGAAACATTTCTTGTCTTTTTTGTTCTCCTAAAAATTGCGTATTGGGGTCAGAAAAGTACAAAATTAGAAAGCAATAAAAAATGTTAAAAATCCTATGTTAAATTCTGCATTGGCTTAGAAATAGACTAACATAATCTCTTAAAAAATATTTTAACACTTTTTTCAGAAAATATATGTAATGTAACATTAATTTTAAGTGACAAAAAGTGGTGAAATCAAAAATACGTTTCTTAGGCAATAGCTAAGTTGCCAAATCAGTAGAAAATTTTAATCTTTCTTGTAGAAAATGTTAACTCTAATTTTTAACTGACCGGAAAAAATCCATCACGTGGACAAAATAAAAACAAAACTACTTACAATTTTCTTTACAGCTCTTTGCTTCGGATCTTCCAAGTATTTGTACCCATATATTAAACTAAATAAGTACAAAGACGCTGATACGGAAAACACACCATAGTATCCAACCCAGGAGAGCATAACACCGCTTAATGCACTACCTATAGGATAGCCTAATGACATGAACATGTTTACTAAGCCCACTCTATAAGTCCTGTTTTCCTCTGTAGTAATATCTCCAATGTAACTGAACACACCAATAAAATTAGTGAACCATCCACCCGTTATAGCAGGAAATATTGCTTCAGTAAACGCAGACACTTCTACAGGCAAATTGAAGAAATATGTATTCACAATGAACCCAAGACATGCCATAAATTCTCCCACTATAGGCAACATGATACATGCTTTCCTCTTCCCCGTCTTGTCACTCCAGGCTCCCACGAAAAGGATAAGTAACACTGGGATAGAAGTTTGCACCACATTCTTCCACACTCCCACACTGGCTGTCAGCTTCTGTACTGCTTGCTCTTCAAGAGTATAGTTCTCTGTCTGTCTCAAATTCAAAGCGTCACACACTTCTGTGCTGTAATTCAAGTTGACTCTGCAGGCTTTTTCTAAATTTAAATTCTGTATAGCTAACGATGCAAGTACACTGGGCATCACATAGCAGGCCATTATAGGTTCTACCGTTGTATTGTCTTTTATTAATTTTAGCCTTTCTCTGAATGTGAGCTTCTTTTTCTTAACTTCTTCACTTTTTTCTTCATGTTTTTCTTCTTTTTCACTTTTGACATTTTCTTCTCCATTTGGTTTGAGAGGAGAAGATTCATCGATGTCTTCTTTATTTTCCTCCTCTTTAAAACTTAGACATTCAATTTTGCACGGCTCCATCTTCGAAACTTTCTGTTACATGTCAATGTTATGCCTCAAGCGTTACTAGTATATGTAACGCCTATATTGAAGAACAACACCTCAGGATTGCGTGTATTTGTATAACTGGTATTTGTTGTGATGCTTGTAATATACATTATTTTATCCAACTCAATATTTATATTGTCTCGACTTGATACTGATAAGGAATATGACTGGAGCCAATTGCGTGCATCTGCTTTTTATCAGCGCTTTCTAACACCCATAATGAAATTACGGGCTTAGAATAGTAAACACTCATAGAATTTCCCGAGATTCTTGTATACACTTTGTAAAGTCTATTTTTGTTATTAATAAAAATAAACAGTTTGTTTTCCTTAATTATTCGTTGTGAAATTAATTGAAATGTGTCGCAGACATGTTAATGAGACAGCATTCAGCTGCCAGACGATACCGGCGCACGACTTAACTCTTTGGACGGTCTAAATGAACGCGAGCACCGTTGCCTAAAGTGGCCGTACGTACGTACTATGTACATAGTGCTGGGCGATGCAAACGACTTGGTTTTATGCTCATTAGTGTGAATCAACTCGATCCTATCGTAAGTTTAAAAACATCACCCGTTTCTACGAAAGGTTTTTTAACAAGGTTTTCCTTTGTTTTTTTATCAAGTCCCTTGTAATAAGTAAAGTACCTATCAATACCTTTTGACGAGTATATTTTCAAAATGTATGATTTTAAAAATTGAACTTCACACCGGCCATTCTGCCAATTAGGTCATATTTCACATACGCAAACATTATTCTTATCTCTTCGAATCTGATTTTTTACTCCTGTTGTAAATATAACGCTTTGGTAAATATTGTCCTATTATGTAGTTTCGGGTATTAATAAAAATATTATTATATTATTACTGTAATCGTGTTTGTTGTGATAACGGCTAGGGATTTCCTTGTTATTTTTGTAGTTTAAATTATAAACGTTATATTACCGAGACGCCAGTTATTTTCTGAGGGTAATACCCACTTGTCTGTCCCACAATAATAGGGAAACTTGCTTATTACCAAACTTGATAGTTTGATAACAAAGAAAAACCATACTGTTGTCGTTGATCAAATAGCTGCAAATGTGACTGCTAAGCAAAGGGTAGTTAAATTAATTCCCTGTTAAATAAATATTGTTGGGTTTGGGTGGAATATTTAATTACAGTGCAATACTATATGATGCTACTGCTAGTTGGGCTCGCTGCCATTGCAGTGGTAAGTCCCCTTTTTGAAGAGTGGCGTGAGAGACGCTACGGCGTCCTCACCTACCGTCTGATGCAGGTCCTCACCGGACATGGGAGCTTCGGGAGGTGCCTGTGTCTGATAGGGTGGGAGGAACGCCCGGGTGTCATCACTGCGAGGACCGCCCTGAGGACACGATGGAACCCACATCGGCATCAGCCCGATACGGAGCCGTGGAGGACTTAGCGGGTTACCGGGGCTCCGGCTCAAAGTGCAGGAGTAGGAACAGGGTTGTTTTTAGTCAGTAATAGTCTTTCCCCCATTACAGAGAGCAGCGCGATCAAACAAACAAACTCTTAAGATTTATTTTTAGTAGATTAAACATGGAACTTGGAATCATGTTCGGTGTATGGAAATAGGCTCATCCCTTAACTTTTTTAAGGGGTCAAATCATCAAATGACTGCTCCCGCCTGGGTGAGGCGGGAGGGAGTGTCAGACTCTTACTGACTAAAAACCACCCCGTTCCTTCTCCTGGAAGTCGAACCGGAGCCCCGGTTACCCGTTAGGTTCTCTACGACTCATCCCTTAGATAGAACATGGAACTCATAACAAAACTGACTTTGACTTTGACCATGCGTTTGGCGAAGTAACTACCGTGCAATGTGTAGAAGTTTCGATTCCTAAACGGAGAAACTCTTTGTGTGATCCACTAATTGTTGTTTTGGGTCTAGGTTTCATATGTATGTGAACTTGTATGTTTGTAAACGCACCTACGACACAGGATAAAAACCTACTGCGAGGCAATGTGTAAAGAAATGTTTGTAACTGGCGAAAAATTGTTGTTACTGTATTTATTACACTACTTTGAGGATTAAGTGGAGTCACATTATGTCATATTACGTTAGATTAGTATTTGACCTTCATTAGCTAATCATTTACCGTCTTCTAGGAGCGGAAGACCTCATTAACGGCTTCCTGGCTTCTAGCTACAGGTAATGATAGTGTGCTAGCCTACCTACGTTATAAGAGACCTAATGATCTAATGATCTAATTGATGTTTTTTTAGGTCATCCTGACGTCAGATTAACAGGTAAAATAATCATAATGCGTGCTAATAATCAGATCAGAATAAAGTGTAAAAAAGTGTATTTTAAAAGTAATCCGATAGTTCGATTTTTGACACTATACCACTGTTGTGAAAAGTACTAGACCGAATCGAATGATATTTGGTATAGACATCGTACAATAACCTGCCTATAAGCTAACCTAGTATAATAATTAGACTGTTTTTTTAATGGAAAAATTGTTATGTGCTGCAAAATAAATGATACTCTTTTTTATAAGTCTGTACTCTGTATTTACCTCCTTTAAAATCAGATATACTCTTCTAAAAAAAGTTGGCAACCCTAAGTGACAGTGAAGCAGACTATCTCTACTCAATGCGCGGGTGTTATAAGGACCGACTGAAGAACTATTATAGATTTGATGACACACCGATACCCTATAATAAACTTGCACCGCAAAAACCATGGGGAGGTTATGGCAGTCTTATTTAGAATAATCTCATAGTCCATTAGCGCACTATCGTGGACAATTGTTGATGATGAATTTTAAAATCTCACTTTGGCGCTTGCCACGTTTCTTCATCCAATGACTTCTCCCACCTGGGTAAGGCGAGAGGGAGTGCTAGACTCTTACTGACTAAAAACCACCTCGTTTCTACTCCTGTACTTAGAACCGGAGCCCCGGTAACCCGTTGCTTACCACTTAAGACAGAAAATATGTAGATGCATACAAAAATTTTATTATAAAAAAATTATTTAAAATGGAGTTCGGTACAAATGTATTAGGCGCATAAACAATTATAGCTAGGCTTACTAAATAGACGAATTAATTACATTTCACTAACTAAACTAAGTTTATTCTATGACTCGAGTATTTCAGGATGCTTTGAATGTTTCTTCTGTTTTCGCACTTCTTTTCTGTGTTCGAAGAACAGCCAGCTGTAATGAAAAGAACAAACATGTTAGTCAGTTTACGAATTGAAATAATTTTAGTTATAGGACTTGATTTTATGGACATGGAAAAGCTGTCTAAGTTCGACCAAAACGAACAACCGATCTTAAAGTAGATTTTTCACATAACATAACATCACGCCTTTTATCCACAAAGGGGTAGGCAGAGGTGCACATTATGCCACTGTACAATGTAACATCCACTTTTCACGATTTATGTTATGAGTCCCATGTAATAGGGGGTGAGCCTATTGCCATATACCGGGCACAATTCCAAACTCCGTCCTACTATTGAGAATTTTTAAAGAACCCAATCAAAACTTTGCCCGGCCCGGGAATCGAACCCGAGACCCCTTACCCGACCCCTTGCGACCACTTGGCCAACGAGGCAGTCTTTTTTCAATCATCAGTTAATTCTTAACTGTAGAATAAAATTGACAGGTTTTAGTACGGAAGAATTGTCAATTATTCAAAGTTATTCCTCTGAACTGACCATTGAAAAATCTGCACTTGATCCAAAATCGGCAAATGTAGATCAATCATGATTTTTGAAAATCCATACAAGTGACGTAAAAACAAATTCTAAATTCTAACATTTTTTATTGGTAATAGGGCTACCCACCTACCTATTGGCCTACATATTACCTCTTGCCTACTATCTCGCGTAATGGTAAGCGACGATGCGGCCTACGATGGAGCACACCTGCTTATAAATAATTCACTCAAGACTAGTTAGTCACCCAGGTTGTACCCTTGACATTGGTCGTTGGTTTACGTTGGATTATGATCGGCTATGAATTTCGGTTGCTAGGTAAAACTGTGTGTTTTCATAAAAAAGGTACAAGATGCAATCTTATTTCTTACTTGACATTATAAAGTCTCTCTAATTCTCGTGAAACTGCGAAACTCACAAACTTTCGCTTTTGATATCACGTCAAAACGGGATCAATCAAAATAGGGATCGGAATGAAATTTGGGAAAAGAATAGATTAGAAAGAAGAAGAATACATTATACTTACAAAAGCACTATCACAGCAGGAAGTGTCATGCTGGCTCCCAGCAGGAACACAGCACCTGGCAATACTTCCATGGTGGCTGTGTACACCCTTGTGTACAATGGCACGTATATCAATGGCATTAGGTTCTCTACCAAGCCTATCAGCGAGTTCACTTTACCTGGAACAAAAAATAAAATTGTGCTAAAACAATTCATGCGCTCTTTACTTTCAATGGAAAGTGAAACTTTATTTTTTTTACTGATAACACTTAAACACAGTAAAAAATTATTCAAGTCAAAGCTACGAACTCAATCAGACTGCACGGTTGGCGCAGTGGCTGGGTAACTGGCTGCCGTGCAACATGTTGCGGGGGCTGCCGTGCAACATGTTGCGGGTTCGATTCCCGCACGGAACAACACTTTGTGTGATCCACAAATTGTTGTTTCGGGTCTGGGTGTTATTGTGTATGTGAACTTGTATGTTTGTAAACGCACCCACGACACAGGAGAAAATCCTAGTTTGGGGCAACGTTTTTATAAAAAAAATAAAAGCAGTATCTATTTGGCATATAAGAATTGTTAATTGTTAAATTGGTGTGCGGTGACGAAACGGTAATTAGAGAAGTGGTTTTTAGAACATATTTAAACAGTCAGACAGTCAGGCCCACGACGACACGGCGATAGTGGCGTCGGTCGCCGAATACTGCTCATGAATATGTGCCTTTAACATGGCTTGAAACTAGTCGACTTCTTCGTCAAAGAGTTACGTGAATAAGCCTAAAACATAATAATTATTGTTTAAATTTAATTTAGTCTCAAGTACTTTAAAAGGAGGCCAATGGTTTTATTTACAACTAGATACGGATACTATACAAGGTAAAAAAATATTGCGTGATTGAATCCGACAATAATACGAATTAATCAAGCCGGCACAAGTAAAATTCGTTAATCAGTAGTAAATAATGAAATTCTTTGACACCTGTTTATGAAATCATGCGTAATGCACAGTTTGTATTTTGTTCATAAAACTGAAACGTAAGGAATCTGTTAAGACTTTCTTTACTTACCTAATTCATTTGGTTCAACAAGTTTTGAGATTATCGACCTCATTGCCAGCAACGATGTCCCATTCAGAATTTCAACCATAGGAGCTGAAAATAAATGAAAATTTTATCTATTTAAAATGAAAATTTCTATTTGATAATAAACCATTCATAAAATTCATCTTAGATTTTAATCAGAAATAGTAAAACATTGGAGATAGTACATAAAAGTGTCAGATTCTTTTCGTATACTTTTCAACTATTTTAATAGTTATTCTGCTTTAAACTGTCAAACACCGCGAGGACACCGGTGATCGCAACCTATTGTTCTTTAATTGTGTCTATAATGACGCTACTCAAAGGGTTAATGCTTATGAATGTACCTTAAAGTCTAGAGTAGTAAACAGACAATCTTAAAAGCAAAATAACCTAGAAATATACATTATTTCATAATAATTTAAAATTGAGACCATTAAAAGTAGACATGATGTATCCATCACGAATCAAACTCGAAATACATAATAACTAACACGCAATTACGTAACGATTAAAAAAATATGTAGGTCAAATTCGAATACATATCTAATAGTATAACGATAAAAAGTTCCGGTAATCACGATAACGATTGTTCATAAAAACAATTGAAAACAAAGTATCTACACATACCTACATATTAAATTTATAAAAGTGCGCAGATAACTAGATTAAAGTGGAATAGTTGTCATCGATATCAATAAATGGTTTATCGATTAATCTACTTACAGTCGTACCACGACACTGGAATTTCTATGGCGTTACCGTTATCATGATAACGAATGAATTGTTAAATTAAATTACAATTTATATTTTAAACATAAAAAATATAATTAAAGAAATTAAAAATAACAATTTAGATGACACATAACCTACTTTTCACATAGGTGATGAGCCTATCGTTATACACCAGGCACAGTTTCAGAATTTAGATCCTTAATAATAAGAAGATAGGGTACAATACTCTAAGGCGTTTGTTTGTACCAAATCAATCAATAATTACTAATAGGAACGTTTTGATGTTCGATAAATTATCTTATAACTAAACTAGGCTGCAAAGAGCTAAATTGTATCCCTAATCTTATATTTTTATGTCAAGGCATTAGACGAATAGATATGGTTTTACGACCCTCTCAAATACTCTTGTTCATTTTCGATAACATGTTCTTGAAATGAAATTTAAAATCTAGTTACAATATCATTCGTTATGAATTGATTGCTTCATTATAACAAATGCTAAGATTATTTAGTTTGTAGTATATAACAAAAAAAAACAACAAACAATCATATTTTATATTATTATATATTTTGTTCATATGTATAACTTATTCCAGATGTTACCACTAACTAGAATGACGACATAAATAGTATTTTTTTCAAGGGGGGAAAATCATCGAATGACTGCTCCCGCCCGGGTGAGGTAGGAGGGAGTATCAGACACTTACTGACTAAAAACCACCCCGTTCCTTCTCCTGCACTTCGAGCCGGAGCCCCAGCAACCCGTTAGGTTCTTCGCGACTCCGTATCGGCATCAGCCCTATTTATATTTCCTAATAGACTGATCATATATCTACATCAATTATGATATCTATTATCGAATAATACACGTAATATTGTTCTTCCGCTGAGTCAAACATCAAAAATGAATCAAATAGTATAATAATCAGGTACGTCATTCAGTTTCCGAAAAAGGCTTCTATCAGTGACAAACTTTCATTATCAAATGGTTAATGTAATGATAATTTTATATGAGTGTCTATTTTGACATCAGCAATGATCACGCTAACTAAAACAATAGATAAAAATAATGTGTACCGTAATTATGTCCTAAAGGCAAAGTCTATGTAAATAAAAATGGATCTTCAAAATGGCTGCACTAAATTCAAAAATGCCTTTTTTGTTTTCGTCATTGTCAAGACAAGGTTTTTGTTAAATAAAAAACGGACAGTTTCAGTGGAAAAGTCAGGATCACACACTAAACGAGACGGTAGTAAGTTGCACATACATATTGCTATCCAACAAATACAACTAAAAAAGAACAAACATTTTCTCTAAGACCTTTAGTTTTTTTTATAATTCAGTTATTCAATAAAAACATTAGTCTATAAACTGACCGTATCTGTTTTATAATGATATTTTTTTATATATATAATATAATAATTTATAATAATAAATTATACCGTATTAACGTATCTGTACGGTCAGTTTATAAGAACCATGGTCCAAATATGACTATGCAGGCTAAAACACCTATATTAAGTCTTTAAATTACAAAGTGGATAATACTCAGACCTTTAGTAATCGATAACTTTAACACTTAGTCCTAAGACAAAGGCACCTTTGAACGTCAACAAAAAAAAAATAAAAGTAAAGTTACTTGCTCATTCCAAGGTGTAGATTCCTATGGAGAAGAACGAGCAAGAAACTCCATAGTTTACTCTTTTTCAATTAGGTTCACAATACAATTCTACAGTTACATAGTTTTATTGGTTCGATTGTGGGAGAATAATATAACACCAAAGTCCAGGCAAAGAGATCGAAAGAGAAACCAAACATAAACAGATTCTTTTCAAAAATTCCATCCAAAGGTTGTCTGGAAGAAATCGCCGCGTGTGATAAGACCGCCCATTGTACTCAAATTACTATTGCAATGTTTACAATTTTTTCTGTGTGTGCAATAAAGTATAAATAAATAAATAAATAATAATAATTCAAGCTCAGAATTTCTCACTCAATAGAAACATTCTAAACTAATTTCTTTCTTAAGATAAAAGTATATTACGTATTATCAATGATCCTTGTAAAAGTAGCGATAGAATATCTATAATGGTTGAGGTTTAAAGCAGATTGATACGTGTTAGTGCGGGCCCGCGATCCGTCACTGTCAGCCCTAGATTATATTGACGATCCTAAACACTATCTTTGCATACTCTCTCAAAAATTGATAGAAAATTAACTTTTACAGAAAAAGTCCAATACATTCAAATTGAAAAAACATTTCATTATGCTTTTTATGGCTATAGAATTTAATCCAATAAATTGAAATTGAACTCTAACACCCAAGTACTGAGAGATCACAATAGGGTTGATGCCTAATTTTTATTTTAATGTCCGTCTGGTAGATTATTTTACATCATTAGACACGTTTTTTTTTAATTTTCTAACAGAAACGAATACTTTCGACGATATATTGATTTGAAATGTCGCGTGACGTCACTTCTATGTACATTTTATACGTAGAGATGACGTTTTAGCCCCCACTCCTAAACTTTGATTCGTTTTATCTCGTTTTATTGTTTTATTATACGACAAAATAAAAAATACGTGTCTAATATTTTTTCATTACTGTTCATACTCTGTCATCATCCCAATTCTAAGTTGTATTTAAATATCGTGCCATCTCTTTCATTTTACAAAGAATATGTAGTGACAGAACTATACTTAATCGCGACTTCAAATTGAGTAGCGTTTCCGACGTAAGACTTATGATCTAAATTTATTAGAACTTTAATCAAAGGTTTGATGTGACGTCACATTTTTTAATTACATAGATGCACAATATAACATCCACTTTTCCCCAGTACTGCTTTGTGTTGCACATAGTTTTTAAACTTTGAGGAAATATTTCACGCCATTTTTGTTTGTTTACCTGATATTCACCATTAACTTAATAACAAAGAAATGGCGAAAAGAAAAAGAATAGCTTTTATTCTTAAGGACTATTAAAACTATGAACTTCCTTACCTATATAAAACACCTTCTCATTCTTAGCAAAACAGTAGACGAATGAAGCAGCGATCTTACTCAATGTGGACACGATGCCCAGGAGTGAGTCATGCCACTTCAAATATTTACTCAGCACCAGAATCGAGAATATTGTACCTGGAATTAAACAAATAAAATACAAGTAAATATTCTGATATTTGACGAGGAACTCGACTTGTTTCAAGCCATGATAGAGGCTCATATTCATGAGCAGCGCGACCCGAAAATCATATTAATTAATTTAGCATGTCTCATGAAAGTTATAACATAAATATTCAGTGTGTGTGTCTTTAACTGAAGGACGAACATGTGAATGTAAATTTCGCAAAGAAAAATTACTTAAACATAAAAAAATATAAAAATAAATCTAAATGTACGGTGGCCTGCAAACTATCCTTTAAAATCAAATTTCTCTACTACATCTTCAACTTTATTGTATAAACATAAAGTCGAAAATCTGATTGACCTTCTGGCCACTGTACGTTAACCATTTTGTCTATCTTTCATAAATTGATGATACATATTCATGCGACACTAACAACTGCGAAAATATTTAGTTTATTATTCCGATAAATGAGTGAATTTGCAGCATGCAGGGCTGCCCCCGCCTTGAATTCGAGCCTATATAACAATTACTATGGTTTCAAAATTGAAGTTCCCAAAAAATTCCACTGTTTTGCAATTTTAATTCTGATAATGATCCTACAACAACCATGCATTACAGCAACAGTTTCTTATAGATAAAGATAAGATTGAAATACTAGATAATGTTTACCATTGCTGACGTCATTATTATGTATTATGATGACCTTTAGAGTTCGATGACCCTACATTGGATTGTGTTATCAAAACATCTTGTCTTGTAATTTATTCTGCTATCACTAACTGAGGTACAAGTAACCTTAATTACTTTTTCGTTAATCAAATCATAGGATTATTTAGTAAGTTTATTGATGACTGAAGCATAATGGTGGATTGAATGTAATCTATTGATTACCTACTTAAAATGTAAGGTGTGTTTCAGTTATTAATAAAATTTTCCATACACTTTAACCGACTTCAAAAACAAAGGGGTTAATGCTATTATCTCGTTATTGGCTGAATAGACTTTTTTCAGAAACGTGTTTATTACACTTACGAGAAGGTTTTAGTATACTTACTAATTAACCGACTTTAAAAAAAGAGGGGTTCAAATCGGCTTTTGTAAGTCATTGTTTAACTTAAAGTATCGTAGCATTTCAGTTTTATATAGAACCTCCACAAATAATATTACGATTTGATGGACATTATTTAAAATTTTGTACTTACCAATAGTATGTGTAATGAAGTTATATGACTGGAATATACTGAATTTCACTTCGTCCCAATTGAATCTATATCTTGTGGATAAGTACATGACAGAAATTTCACCTGAAATCAAACAAATTACAAATTAAAGTCTTTTAAAAACAAATATACCTGAACGCGCGTCGTTCAGGTATATTTGTTTTTAAATAAGGATAATAATCAGGGCGCTTACTCTTGAAACCAATCTCAATGTCAATGCAATTTCAATCCAACAAAATCTCAATAATTATTCAATGTCAAAACTATACAACCCTTATCGTAGCTGTTAAAATAGCATTCAGGGTACGGAATATAAAGCCAAACTTAATATCCATGCAATACGGATGCAATGGGCGCTAGTGTTGCATCTCGAGAGTACGAAATTTCACAATACCAATGTCGATCGATCGGAATTGGATTCAAGAGTAAGGCCCCTGGTCATAGACCACATATTTCAACTTCTCAAGCCAGGAAATTATAAATCCTATAAATGATTTTCCTGGCCCATTGGTACCTTTACAAACATGGGCCAAGGCTAAGAACAACAATTAGCAAATCACAAAAGTTTGTTACGAAAGAGAATAGATGACACTATACGTTACAAACAGACAGTTGCCAGAAAGTAAGTTACCCCCCTCCCCCCTTCCGCACACCGTTAATCATTTTTACTGTAGTTCCAACCTCATAATTATTATGCTTATATATCAATTCCAATTTCACACAAATTTTGCGCTAAACAATTACTTACCGTACATCGGTCCGAATAAAACGCTGACTACTCCAAGAAGGACACATAGTCGTAGCCTCCTGCTCTTAGGAGCTTTCTTCAACAGCACAGCAATGGTCTCTTTGACGTTCGATGGGTCGAAGAAGACGCGGAATAAGTGACAGCAGCCTTGACGATCGTGCTGAGAAAGAAACAGAGAACAATGTTTACTTAAAACGACGATAGAGAGAAAAGTGTTCATTACCGAAGTGATACCACGGCCTCACAGAAAACCGACGTGAAACAACACTTGCGTTGTGTCTCGTCGTGTGGGTAAGGTTACCGGAGGCTCAATTCCCCAGTGTCCCTAATCCCCGAATCCCTAATAAATGAATTCTTAATCCCTAAAAGGTCGGTTACGCTTCTGGTATCTCGGGTGTCCATGGGCGGCACCGATTGCTTACCATCAAGTGATCCGTCAACTAGTTTGCCGGCTTATACATACCATTAAAAAAAATAAATATGAAAAAGTGTAGTAATTATTATAATTATATTGTTATAAACAAACTGTTTACAAACAATTATTAGTAAGCTGGTTGGAAATAGTCGTAAACTTTTACTTGGCACGTAATTCATAGTGAGCAATATGTTGATGGCCATGGTTTATTATTAGTAAATGTAAATCGTAATAGTACCACAACATAAATCTATAACATAATCGAACATCTAGATCCGATCCGACCAAACTAGTAATCACGGAAAGATAAAAACATTATACCTCTACTCTTATTAATAAAACAAGATTATTCAAACAATTTGACTATTAAAATCGTTTAAAATTTTCTTTATAATAACACTTGTGGCCTACAGCCTGATCTTTTACTAGTGACGTAAGCTGATGATGGACAATGTTACATACCTTCTTTTGTTCCTTGTTTCTCTTCGGATCCCTCACCACAAATACAATATACATCAAATTGAGGAACTGTAAGCCTGATGTCAGTCCGTAGCAGCCATAGTAACCAATCTTCTTCAACAGGATCCCACTGACCCCCATTCCAATGGGAAAAGCCACTGTCACACTAAAACTGACCAGACCAAGTCTGAATGTTCTCGTCTCGTCGGTTGTAATAGTACTAATAAAGGCAAAGGCTGTTAAGAAACAAATGCACCATCCTCCAGTAAAACCCTCGATAAGAGCTTCAGAGAAGATTAAAGCTTCCAAAGGGAGCTCGTTGAAGAAATAGACATGAATCATGTTGTTGATACCAATGAGCAATTGTCCAGTAATTGACACCATCATGAAGAATTTTCTGTGCCCCGTTCTATCAGAGAATGACCCCACAAATAGGGCCAGAATACATGGTATTGTGGCTGATAAATAAGTTCTCCATGATAGAGCTCTGGCAAGCAGCTTCTGCGTTTCTCTTTCATATTCGTTCTGTGAGTCCACTTCTTGCATTCGTAGAGAATGACATATTTCTTCTGTGAAGTTAAGGTTTACACGACAAGCCTTGTCTAGATTTAAATTCTGTGATGCTGTCATTAATATCATGGCTGATAACACGAACATTGACAGCGAGGGCTCGAGGGTAATATTTTTGAACACATACACCACTTTGTCCTTAAAACTACGTTTAACTTCTGCTTCTCCATTTCCTTTAAGAGGATCTTCTTCCGTAAAATCTTCATTATTTGTATCTTCTCTATTATTTTCGGTTGCCATTTTTGTCACGTTTATAAAATCATTAATTTGGTTCGATAATGCACTTGTCGATACAACCGGTGCTGAACGTGAACTGTTTATTATATCTCATTTGGTGTCAATTAAGTTATAATCATTTGCGATATATGCCTATCAGGTGTATCGTACAAATATAGGGAGCGTACAGCGATATGGAAATGGACGTACGAGTACATTAATAACATGCCCTAAACTATACATACATATCTACGTTGACTAATCCCAACTTATCAACTGCTATGATTGTAAAATTTATCACAGCAATTGTTCTTACTTAAGTATTGTTATTCTCCGTATATTTCCTTTATCAATACTCCGTTGTTTAATTATGTGTGTGACATTGTTTCCTAATGAAATATGAATATCTCAATACTCATAAGTTGTATGTGGATTCCAGCTAACACAAATGTTTCATGATTTCCTTTTAGATTTTCGATTATTCTGGATGTTAGTCATTTTCCTCCCCTTTACTTCTACCTGATTTTATTACTTTCCTAGTATAAACAATTACTCATATCCACGTACCTATACTTTTTATAAATAACTTTTCTTGTTTACAACCAGTTTCAAACAAACTTTACAGCTATTTTGCAATATTTGTTTTAGTTTTCCAAAACCCCTGGCGGAGTATTATCAGTAAACATGTGACGCAAAATCAGTTAGTACCTAAATAAGCTTTAAATTGAGTATACATACTTACCAAAATAAAGATTACAAAAAATAAGTAGTTTTACTGTATTTACATTTGTAGATTTTATGAATTTCATAATTCTGTTGCAATGTGTCTTACAGTCGCGTACACAATAACTGCAGATAACTCTATGAGTGACTGAAGTCATGTTTAGAGAAAATATATTTAGGTGACATCATGATTACCTCTATATTAAAACAAATAATCAAAGATAGATACTGTTCACTAGCAAGGTTAGACTAGGAATTGAATTTCTTCATGTAATGTATATAAATCACATATTCATATATATATATTTGCCCCAATTTCTACTGGAATACTTTATAATACCTCATTTAAGATAATCATGATTAATCGAATAGCTCGAGTACATAAGGCGACTTGGCACCGATTACAATGCGGGCGTGGTGATCACTTGGCAACAATTAAGAAAAATCAAAAGAAACATACATCGCCAATAGAGAACGTTTGGGTAACCAGTAGATAGCAATGCGTTAATTGACATCGTTGACATAACATAACATCACGCTTTTTATCCCCGAAGGGGTAGGCAAAGGTGCACATTATGCCACTGTACAATGTAACACCCACTTTTCACTATTTATGTTATGAATCCCATGTAATAGGGGGTGAGCCTATTGCCATATACCGGGCACAATTCCAGACTCCGTGCTACTACTGAGAATTTTTTTTAAACCCAATGTTACTTTGCCCGACCCGCTAATCGAACCCGAGACCCCTTGCCCGGCAGTAGCACTTGTAGCCACTCGGCCAAGGAGGCAGTCAAACATCGTTGATTTTGCACAAATACATATAAGTATAATTTAAATGGCACTATCTTAGAATTTCTAAATCCCGAGTGAATAGGTAACTTATCAGGCGTAAGAGCAGGCGTGCTCTATCGTTGGCCATACCATCGCTTTCCACTAAACACGTTAGAAGTCAATGTATGCCATAAGATAAAAACTATAGAACGTTGTTTACTGTGGTCTATACTTCCATACCTTTCATGCATCTGTCCGTGTAAGTAACTCCTGCACATACAACATAATAGTGGTACATCCACTATTATGTTGTATTCTGTATATGAAAGACTAAATAAATAAATATATATACAGGTTACTACATTGTGTGGTGCAATGGGTAACAACTTTATCGAGATGTAACAGTGATCCTTTGTTACAAAATGGAATTAACCGTGAAGGTCAAAATGAACAGATATTATAAATATAATAAATATCTTAATCTGCCGATAAAGTCGTAATATATGTTGTGGATAACAACAATAAGCAATGTGTTTTTAATGATATAACTATCCATACTATGTACTTGTCATAATGATTGCATCATTATTCCGAATGGCCACGTTTAGGGTTTAGAAGTACTGTTATCATTTACTCCTCTGAATAACTAACTACCTCATTTAAGGGAAAATAAATAATAATTATTATCATAATTACATAAACATAGTAATCACCTCAGTCCATGTTATTTGGAAAGTGTAATTTTTTTATTAAGATTCCTTGGATTGATATTAGATTTTTACATAATACAATAGATGTATTTATCATGACATTGCAGCACTGAGTCTCTGAGCTTCTGCGAGAGTCGTAAGAGCCGAAGAAGAAACTACACGTTTGATAGTAGCATTATAAAATAAAAACTGCATTTAAAAAACCGACTTCAAAAAGCCAAATTAAATCAAATTGTAGTATTTAAAAATCCTAATTGAAAAACATTATAGACGTCCCTAAAATTTTCAAAAGTTTCCTTCGGTTTCTAGGATACCATCATCTGATCCTGACTTCATGGAAATGGGACCATCTCGGGAGTATACCCTTTCAAAAAAACAAGAATTTTGGAAATTGGTTCACAAATTGCAGAGTAACCGGTCAACAAATAAAAAAAACAATCAGCCGAAAATAGTACCTCCTCCTTTTTTTTCAATTCTAAAAACCCTTAACATTTTTAAAACTGTGTTCAATCCAATAGTCAAATGTGGCTGTTATGGCAAACTTTGGAGACCCATAGTAAACTATTATAGGTCAATGATACATGTTTAGTTTTCGTTGGTTGTTTGAGTAAATGTGTGAAATTGAACAAAAAACTAAATGCAGCTCAAACAGCACCATATAAATTGCAAATAAAGTATTATATAAAATTACTATTTAAATAGAACTTTGTTTTAATCGCAAATATCACGTTTGTTGGTTCACTTCAAATCGCAAATATCAATGGAATTTATGACCGAAATTTACTAATTATTGTGCAATTGTTGCTCTGGAAGTTTTGCTTTGAAATTGTAACATCTATAGACATTCAAATTAATCCTAATTTCCCTTGATCGTCGCATCACGCGTGAACGGCATGACCGATTTCGCTAATTCATTTTGCGTTGTATTTTTATAAACATGAAAATGTCTCCGAAGATTGTCAGAAGATACTACCTGATCCCTTAAATTACGGGCCACTGCATAAAGTACATAATACAAAACTATGAATGACATTTTAGTGACTTTTTAATAAAACTTTTTGTTGTTTTGGAACACGTATGCGAAAAAGATATAAATAGTCTAAAAATAAATAAGTTTCATAGTATAATAATGTAAATCCTTGGTTTTATCGATTTAATTTGCTTGAATGGCATTAATATGATTGTTTTACATTTAGTTGAGTCTGAAATAATATGTGTGGATATTTCTGCTATATAGGACGAATATAAACACACATAATATAGAAAATAAAATATATATATAATATGATGACATTTATAGTACAATGAAATATTTTCGTACACTTCAAAGTACTACGAGTTTCGTAGTAAAGTTGCTACGGCGTAGCACAACGCGTAGCTAGTGACTACGTAAGAAGCAGACTTTGCTACACGTGAATTGGATAAAAAAGTGATTATGCATTTTCTCAATCTGTTATTTTAATGGGAAGTTACGATAGATATGATAATGATTTTCATAAACATACTTAGAGACAGAAAATGACTAAGCTTTTTATGTGGATTATAAATTTTTTTACTACAATGAAATTTGTAGTTTCTCAGAATCAGTAGGCATAATGAGAGAGTCTACAGAGTGTCCTTTTATGTTGTAGAGTTTAATTTGTTTTAATTTTTATGTTGTCGTATTGTGCTACTAGGAATCATTCCAGATAGTCCAATTTATCCGCTCATTAACGATTAATAAGATGTTTCGTAGATACCTACATAGCCTTGTTAAAAAAAAGTCTTTTATGTATTTTCATACATTCTTGTAGTTTTAACACATAGCATTGACTATAAAATTTTCTCTTGAATTAACTATTCCTAGAAGTCCATGGGACTTATGACACAACTGATATAAATCTTACGCTATGCTTTGGAAATTATCTGCTTTATTATTGCAACATTTGTAAGTATTGCTACTGATCACGAGTACCTATCTTTAATTACATCTAAATAGATAAGACACGGTTGAATTTTTATTAATTTCAAAATTATCTGTATGTTACCAAAAAATAATCGGAAATAGTGTTTAATTTACGATAACTAAATTAGACTACTCATATTTTATGCCTACACTACTCTGCTCACCTCTCCGGGGAGCATCAAGAGTGATAAAGTACCAAAATTAAATTTTATAATCTTACAATAAAATGTACATATAAGTATGACTTGCAATAGATAGTATATGTTGACATATTTATCTTTATTCTTAATTACTTTAGTATCATTAATGAATAGATGACTTTACAACTGATATATATAGAGTAAATAAGTATATATATATATTTATGGTAATCATTATTGGCTTGGAATTAGGGTTGGGTTGAGTCCAAAAGTCACATACTAGAATTTGACCTGTATGTACCTGTATGTACTATATATTAATTCGAAGAATTGATTCTTCACATTCACAAACAATATAAAAGAATGTGCTCCCTTTCAATGTAAGGACATAATATGTATAGAGTTAACAACCGTGTCTTTCAATTAAAGCATACGGGTATTTATAAGATTAAAATAAAAATTAATCTCGAACGATTATCAAATTTACACTTTGTTTTTAAAATAACTATCGTGAGTTGAGAGAACCCCACTGTGGTTCGAAACTAATAGAGCTTTTCTCAGTATATTCACGTAACCCGCGATTTTTTAGTTGAATGTACACTTTTGTATAAGACAAGACAATCTAGGCTGTTGACAAAATTCAATGAACAAGCACGTGTGATATACTATTCTGACAGCCGTAGAATCATAGTTGTAATTATAATGTTATTGCGTTCCTTTTTTATCTACTTT